TAATTAGAACCTTTGTATTACGTTACCTTTTAACAATTATTTCTGAGCCTAGTAACATTGTAACACGTTCTTTATTGCCTGACGAAGAGTCTCTGCTCAAAACATTTTCAGTTAGATACGTCAATTTATTCTTTATTATCATTTATCCATTAAAATAGTCGCTCTCTCTTGATAAATGTGACCACAATATTTGTTCTTCAATGAACATTTTAAAGATTTTATTTTAGCTACAAGTCATATACATATTTTCTTCGTATTTTTTGTGACTGTTCGCGGGTCTGTGACTGTCGAGACAATCTCTGTTTTGATTGTATCTCATTTTTACGAATGGCTGATGAGTTTGATGAATGATTTTCGAAAGTAAAGTAGCTGTCGTTATGTCTCTAAATTGATTAGCTGAAATGTTGCATTTGGTTTATCATTTTCAAATACGGACGAAAGTAAGACAGAATGTTGCAGCATTTAAAAAGTAATCAAGTATAAGAATATTTTTAATAAAATTATTTATTACTTAACTTATATTAAAAACTCTTGTCTGGATTATTACAGAATATTTTTAATAAAATTATTTATTACTTAACTTATATTAAAAACTCTTGTCTGGATTATTACAGAATATTTCAAAGAAATATCGACGGCAACACCCAAAACGTTTGCTTTTTTTCCGTTTGAGCCTTAGATAAATTTCACTCCATTCTACTTGAATGGCCTTTTTTGTCACATTAGTTTGTCTCAAGGTGGGACGTTTATGGACTTACAACCCTAAAATCACAAGTTCGATTTCCCGCGGTGGACACTGTAGATGGCTCAGTGTAGTGTTGTTCTGAAACAAATACTTTACTTTATAGTGTAAGTTCTGGAATATAAGTGCCTCTAAATCCCGTTATTTAGAATACTCGTGTTAAGCTAAAAAAAGATTTCCTTGTTACTTGATGGACTTCAAGGCCGTCAAATATGCAGAAATTAAGCTTATTCAATAGGTTTTCTCGTTGGGCGTTTAAAGTTTAGAATCATGATGTTCGACGGAAAATCTCATGTTCAAGCTGAGGTATGTTTGTTGATATTCATTGCCTTCGAACTTTCTAGAATGAATCGTGTCTCGGGTAACACATAATACGATGGAATCATTTGTCATTATCAGTATCAAACTATGTGCAATATCGATGTCGTAGTTAATTTCAAGTACATTTAGCATTATTGAAAATGAAAAAATCTATTTAGATTTAAGTTAACATTTATTAACTCTGGTATACCAACGAGGTAAAACATATAAGTCACTTTTTACATGATTAGGTTATTAGTAATATAATATATACCAATATTTTGAGAATGATATTTAAGTTATGAGAATTATTTAAAACATCTTTTTTAAATTTCACATTTAATTACTTATAGCTTAAAAACCGCCCCCTAGTGGCACAGCGGTATATCTGCGGACTTACAACTCTAGACACCGGGTTTCGATATCCGTGGTGGGCAGAGCACAGATAGCCCATTGTGTAGTTTCGTGCTTAACTTCAAACAAATAAACAACAAACTAAAAATTCTCATCTCGCCATCTCTGGAATCTAGTGGAACTAATAGCTGTGTAATAATAAATAATTACTGGCGTGTGTGCTACAAAATGTGGGAAAAATCCATTGCTGCTTATTTGCTTCCTGTGAAGATTAGCAATTCCAAATATTAGATTTAATATTTGCATCCAATAACTCTATTTTTCTAGGATGATAATATTTTTTTATGTATTGTCATCATGAAATATTTATTTTTCAGGGATATCTAAGAATTTTCTATCTTAATTTTAAAAGAATTTTAAACTCTGCGTATCATTTACTAATTTAATAATCTGTTACAGTGCTTATAAGCCACAAGTAAGTTATCTAAAGCTACTTCTTATTTCAGCATGAATTACTAAGTATTTGGACATTTTTTGTGTAAGCTAATTAAATATTTATTTCTAGTATTTTCTTCCTAACATTGTTAATGTTATTGTTTTTTGTTCACAATCCGGTGTCAAGTAGATAATCGCATTTTTTCTCTGGATTTGTTTGAAACTCTTGTAACGAAGCTTGCAAACGTATTCGCTCATGGCTCTGGCCACTAGGTGTTCCAATCCCTTTCAAAGACGTATACTGGTCACTAGGTGTTCCAATCCCTTTCAAAGACGTATACTGGCCACTAGGTGTTCCAATCCCTTTCAAAGACGTATACTGGCCACTAGGTGTTCCAATCCCTTTCAAAGACGTATACTGGCCACTAGGTGTTCCAATCCCTTTCAAAGACGTATACTGGTCACTAGGTGTTTCAATCCCTTTCAAAGACGTATACTGTGAGTAAGTGACTGAGCCATTGGGAGATTACAGAAAATTGCTAAATTAAATTTAAGAGTCAATAAAAGGCTCCCACACACATATGCATGCCATATGACTAATAGAGACGAGTGATGAGAACACTAAAGCATTTTAAGCTATGTTAACGAATATTTTACACCTGAGTACTGTTAGTATGTTTCAGCGTTTTCAAAATGTGTGAATGTTCGTGGAGAAAGATAAGAAATAAATGAAAAACAAAAACAAATATAACAAAATATGCGAAAATAAGATATTATGAATATTTTAAAGTTAAAAGTTCATAGATTTCTTCCAATTAGAAGAAATCCATGATAATAATCCATTAATAAAGTTATGTTATAAAGGTACAGAGTTAGCAAGTGTTTCTATTATGTATCTTGAGTTGTTTGATCTGTTCTTGGTTGAACCAACTTTTATGGAAGTGTTATATATATTACATAACCAAAAAACAACTTGATTTTATTAAAATAAAACAAGGTATGAGAGTTTCAACACGTGGACAAAAGTAACATAAGTTACAATTATATTCCATATATATTCCATGAATTTCCCGATATTTGTATGGTTTGTATCTTGAGAAGTTTAAATCTGTTACATTGTTGCTCGGGGTTTTAGCAGTTATGTTATGAACGTGTGTGAGTGTTTATTTACATAAACAGTTATGTTATAAACGTATCTGAGTATTCATTTATATAAACAGTTATGTTAAAAACGTCTCTGAGTATTTATTTTTATAAGCACTCATGTTAAAAACTTGTCTAAGTATTTATTTATATAAACAGTTATGTTATAAAGGTGTCTGAGTATTTATTTCTATAAATAATTCTATCAAAGATAGTTAGACAATACCTATCTGAATGTTGAATAAGTAAATGTCTTTATTAATCGCCTTTTTTTTGCTGTAAGATTGCTCGTGAAAGCTATTTTGTAAAATGCAAAATTATAGTAATGACCTTGCATATTTGTATATAGAAATATATTCTTATTCCAGGAGTGACATCAAAATAGAGGTTTTGGTTATCTCAGAATTTTTAATTTAATTACAACTATTACTTAAGTTCAAGTTACTCCAATAGAATTTGTATTAACAATTTTTCTTTAATAAACCTTCTACATACATTTAATTCGATGTATATATTTGAAACTAAACACATGCTTGTATCAAAATGTTAGAGAAATATATTTGTTCTTGAAAAATATCTACTTGCTCCCTCCCCGTTTGAAAAACACATATAGAGAAGTAGAATATAATTATTAAAAACACGTATAGAGAAGTAGAATATTGTTATTAAAAACACATATAGAGAAGTAGAATATAATTATTAAAAACACATATATAGAAGTAGAATATAATTATTAAAAACACATATATAGAAGTAGAATATAATTATTAAAAACACATATATAAAAGTAGAATATTATTATTAAAAACACATATAGAGAAGAAGAATATTGTTATTAAAACACATATAGGGAAGTAAAATATTTTTATTAAAAACACATATAGAGAAGTAGAATATTAACTATATGTGTTTTTAATAAAAGTAGAATATCATTATTAAAAACACATATATAGAAGTAGAATACAATTATTAAAAACACTAATAGAGAAGTAGAATATTATTTTAGAATTTCTCTTTTATCTAGCAGTAACCATTGTCTATATACCTTGTCACTGGCAGCTACATTTTATCGAGAATTGCGTATAATGCGTTTTGCCTTTAAGTTCTTCATATATTCGCATTCATTTATTTCAAGGTGTTTAAAATTAGTCATCAGGATTGTTCATCGCAGGATGTACTCACACTAATAACGGTTTGCATCATGAACTGAAATGGTGTTTAATGGAACAGTTTAAGTTTTTTTTTGTAATTCTTATTATGTTCTTCCAAGAGCTGTCAGTCAAACTTTACTGGGCTCCTACTGTAGACTAAAGCAATGTAATAATATCGCAACGTTAATGTAAATACATATATTACAATGTCTGTGACTGAGAGTATATGATTTAAACAGATGTATGTCTTGTGTATACATTTTCGGTTTGAAGTTTAGAGGTGCGCATTTTTAAATAGTCATGTTTATGTGCTAGACTTCCACAGTTCGGAATTTTATTTTCAGTAACTTGCATGGTTCTCTTAAAATATACACTATTGTTTTTCTAGTAACAGACCGAACGATCCGAGGAAAAAAAAGGACAAAAAAAAAACACTTGCTCAACGGCCAAAATATATTTGTTCCTTAGACACGCCTCGTTGCTTGGCCTTCAGGTGATATGAATTCAACATTCCTGTTATATTAATACGTTGTAATAAAATCACTCTTGATAGTTATTGATAGAGTCATCCAGAATTTTTTTATTTGTTAAGAGTCCAACATTGCACTAAAACTATTTTCTATGGGGTTTTGAGTTCATTTTGCTTACCATATAGTAACCTAAATTAATCTGTAACGTATATAAAAACATTTCCGTTTAAAGGGCACACAGGCCAGGATGACTTATTAACTCACAATAAGCAAGCTTTTTGGCATAACTACAAAATGACAAACAAAAATGCATTTAATTTTGTTTTGTTTTGCCACATAAATGTGAATACAAAATTGATTATTACATATTTTTTACCTTTGTTGGTTGTGATCTTTTATTTTTAGTTGGAGAGATCTGGAGAAAATTACGTGTCATTATCCCAAACAGACTTGGATTCAGAAGGAACCTACCGATGTGAAGTCTCAGCTGAAGCGCCCTCTTTCCAAACGGAAAGGGCAGAACGTGAGCTTAAAACATATGGTGAGATATAATTGGGAAAATAATTATAAAATTAAAGTTAAAATATTAACGTTATTATTTCAAGTTAATAGATGTGTTTCTTTGTATGTGTGATGCTAAGCGCAAACCTTCACAATAGGCTATCTGCCCTCTGGCCACCACAGGAATGTAACCCTTGCTTTTAGCCTTATAAGCCATCAAGCATAACGTTGAGGAACAGGAGGATACCATGAAAAATAGTCATTATTACGTGCTTGCACTAAGGGTGCGGCGGTTAGATATCAATAAGTGGTATGATTAGTCATTTTTACGATCTATAAGTAAGTGTAGTTACTGTTAGATAATAATAACAATTATACTATTAATTATAAATCATTTATAAAAATATTTTTATTTATTTATATAGTTTCATTTCTTCTGTTTTACTTCAGCCCTATTATTATTCTATATCGACTATAGAAGTATAATCTCATTGTAATTTATTTTACTGTTCATTTCGTTATATGAAACGATACATTATACATGGATGAATAAATGAATAGACTACTTATTGTCAATGTCAATAAACATAGCTATAACGAAATTAATGTCTTAATTAACGAACGAAATAACTTAATTCATAACACAATAGCTTATAAGAAAGGTGAATTAATATCTTATTAATATAAAGATCACAATAGTAGTATTACTTTCTTTTAGTTCATTACCAATTGGTTCTATTTATCTCAAAAAATAATATTTTGAAGTGATATATGACTATTAAAACTGACATGCAAAGATGCAACCTTACTTAGACAGTGGAATATCACGAACTTTAAAAATAGAATATATATATATATATATATATATAAGCTATAGTTCATATTTTAAACTGTGCGGGTGGTGGTTTAAAAAATAGTAAACTATTTAAAGTCTAAAATTTGATAATTATTTTCGTTTCCTAAAACATTAAGCTGTAGAACGAATTAATTATATGTGCTGTGTCCAACGCACGGATAGAACCCTAGTCTTTAGCATTTTTAGTCTTTTAGTTTATTATTCGGTGGTTTCAAGGCATTTAAGAGATATTAGGTATAAGAAGTTTGTACAGTATACTTGGAAATGTATTTATTTACACAAATTATTTGTTCCCACCTTCTGTGTGATATCGTTGAGATTTCACGCGCCGCAAAAACACCCCATTGAATCCCGAAATGAAAAACCGACCATTCGAAGTATTGGTTACGATACATTATACGCACATATACTAATAGTACGCCAAAAACGTCGCTAACATTTCCGGTATAACAATTCAAAAACAGCAACTTTTTTGTCTCCTGCCTACCTACCTGACCACCTCAGCGGGTCTAGCCCCTAGACGGCTCGGACTTACGCTACAAGATTTATTCAGCTTACTTGACTGGTATGTAGGCTTTCTCTTTTGATATTCCGATAAATATAAAAACTATTTTTTATAAATGGTAAACATATCATGTACGTACTTGAATATCTTTTCAACCCAATTCACCCCACTGTGATCCGTATAGCTCAATGAAGTAGTCTAAATTTACCAACCAAAGTAGAGATTAAAATCTATACAACTACGATACTTTACTTGTTTGGGTATATTTTTTTAATTATTTATTTTGGACTACTTATAGCAATTCTACGAATAACCAATGGTCCATACTTCCGTTAAAATATTATTTATTTTTTTTTCATTTATCATATCTTGTTTGTTGAAAGATTATTTTTACTCAATATTTTAACAGAAGATTGTAATTTAGTGATCAGAATGTTCTTTAGCTGGTATAGAAGAAATACTGACAGGAAGAATACTAAGGCATATTACATAATTTATAATTTATTGTCAGAAAGACTTTTCTAACAATAGTGGGTGCGCCAGCAATCTTACTGTCTACTCGACCAAATGAGTTCGAACGCTTAATTACCGTGTAGTAAAAGAGGCTAAAATCTCCTTTAAATAAAGGCTGATTGATCGTTGAGGTCTTCACATTTAGGTATGACTTAGATCGACACTAAAATTTCATGGAAACTTTCTTCTTAAGGTACTTTATGCAGTTGTAGGGTTACAAAAGGTAATGGATGGCCTTAAGAAGTTATTAACTCTAAAATATAGTAACTTACACTTTGATTCATAGAAGATATTTGTGTATGTTTGTTTGAGAACAAAACTGAACTGAGCCGTGGAAGAGATAACGGAAACATATCATATTAAACTCGTGATTTATTTTTCAGTAATGATTTTATTATTACGCTGAATTAAACCGTAGATTTTGTTATTACATTTGAGCCAAATGTATACTTGCATCGCATTTGAGTCAAACTGAGTATTCTGTTATTACATGTAATTTAAACTGTTTATTTTGATAATCATTGTAGAAACATAAGTTTATTAAATGATTTATCTAATTTATGAGATTCATATCATTTACCAATATTAATTATTTAAATCGAATCACATAAATCTAACATGGAATATATTAAAGCAGTCTCCTGTAATCGAGCCTAATATCTACATGATGTTTTCGCTAGATATAAGAGTAAACTAGATATAGTGTTAGTATCTATGTTCGCATATTAGTATTTTGTTCTATAGAGATAATGGTAATTGAAAAAGACACAAAATTATGAATATACGGAAAGAAAAACATCTTTTTTAATAATACAGCTACGTTACCTATATCATAAGATGCGTTATTATGAGTGCAAAGCTACATGTGATTGTAAGTATCTTGAGGAAATGGAAGAGTGAGCGCTTGCAGCGTTATTTTCAGTATAGATCTATATTCATAATTTAGTTACAACCAGAATCAGCCTTTATCGGTTGAATACTCAATATGTTGAAAACACTTTTGTCTTTTGATCCTCACACTACCCATCCTATCTCTTAAAACTGGTGTGTTTCACTATAGTCGAATATGCTACCATCAGTATAAGTAAAATCACAGAAATGACAAGTATCACACATTCTGAAATATGTATCAACAAAACTTCAAGTTAAAAAAAGACAACTTTTCTAAGATTTAACAAAAATAATGTATATGCATCCTTCCTTTGAAGATTTGAAGAATAAAATGTGTAAAGTAACTGTGAAAAACGTTCTTGACAAAATATTTCAATTTTGTTGCTTTTATTATTTCTTATGATAAAAAATGTGATTTAAGAAAAAAGATATATCTTTTTTTTCACATTTTATAAATCCACCGCATTTACTCTACAATGTTTATCATTACAGAATATTCCTTACAAACAAAATAAGTTGTATGTTCACTATACATTAAGTTTAACAATGAAGAATGGATTTAGTACGTCACTGAACTTCACAGTCGGTAAAAAAACAAATTTATCAATGTTTTCACTTTAAATGAAAATACAGTATGCTAACTAGAATACAAAAATTATATAATACTAATTACATAATAATAAACCCTAATGTCGTTAAATATAGCCTGCTTTTAGATCGAGATTATATGAAATGTTCGTTTTTTGGTAAGAAATATCGTTAAACATAGCGTAGCTTGGATTATTTTGAAATTACGTTTAAGGTTTGTAAAATAACATTTCCAGTTCTATTCAAGTTGGGTAATATAATTTCATGGATAAAACTTTCAAAAATATACCACGTTCCAATAGACAGGCTATAATAAGGTAGAGATCGTTTGCATTTTGTTAACTTAATGTTTGAGAGGTCATGTTTTTGTGCTATTTCTAAGTTAGTTTCAATACAACTAAATATCATATTTTTTACGTGAATACCACGTTACACAAGTGTATTTATAAGTAATATTGTCTCCAGGCACATGTATGGTGTCATCAGTAGCTTTTGACTATACATTTAAAATTACATATGATTCCCCAACATTATCTCTACATGACTGTGAATTTGTCTTCCTTTGGTTAAATCACTGAATGACATGTTTCGTAAAATCATTCCCGAAACTCAAGTCTTGCGATATATATATATACATACATATACACATATGTTATCATTGTGTATTTGTGATGCAACTACACTAACAATCTTGTAGCTGGTTGACGGATTTATTGTTATATATTTATTTTAATATCAACGTTTGTTTCGGTTAAATTCATATTTAGAAACATACATAGCTTATACTGTTAAATATGTATTGTGAAACTCCCGCCTATTCTCCAAAGTTGTAGAAGTTTCTCGAGAGTAAGAATCAACAATATATGTATGTACGTAAACGTCAGTATTGTTACGTAAAACTGAAAATTCGAGAGAGCCTCCACATGCGTATAAATATAATGAACACGATGCGCCAAATAAGTAGTCTCTATTATTAGTTTGCTATATTCAGTGTGTTATAAACTTCGGAAGCTATAACTGTGATTGTTAAAACGCTTATCAATCGGAAAACTTCAGATATTTGACCAGGAGCATTTACAAAATTCGAACATTACAAATCATTTAACTTCAGTGGATTCTCATCGTACATTAGTATTTTTACGAAAACATTACATAAAGTCATGGTGGAAAACAACTTTGAACTTAATCGATATGTTAAAGTACCATCATTTAATGAAAATGAAGTTGATAAATATTTCCAACATTTTGAGAAGGTTGCCCAAACCATGGAATGGCCCACCGAAAAATTATTATTATTACAAAGTGTCTTAACTAGTGAAGCACAAGAAACTTATGCCGCTCTCTCTTTGGAAGATTGTACGTACGAATTATGATAAGGTTAAAGCATACGAGTTAGTACCAGAGGCTTATCGCCAAAAGATAACCAAACTTATATGGAATTTGTCCACGAAAAAGAGGTTTATTTTGATCGATGGTGTAATTCTATGCATATTGGCAATAGTTTCGACAAACTAAAACAATTATATCTAATTGAGAAATTTAAACGTTGTGCACGTGACGACCTCAAAACGAAAATTGTGTGTATCAATCTTATTGTCAAATATCATAAACTGACTTTATATCGGCTTTTACTTAACTGCTAAATCCGAAATACAATTTAACTACTAAATTTAAAGTATCATTTAACTCAATTTCAGGCTATTTGATATTCTAATACATAACACTGATTAGCAACATATACTATAGGCGTATATACTATGAGATTAGTGACATTATCTAGATGTTTATTTCCTTGGTCTACAGTCGAAGTATAGTTTGAGCTACATTCTTACAAGTATTCTGTTTTAACTTTGTGTCTTAGTGCTCTCCTGAGAATGCTTATAAACGTATGGATAAAAATAACCATAGTAAATAACGTAAAATCAGATGTACTGTTTCTTTCATTTCTTAAAGAAAAACTGAATTTATTCGTAATGTTTTGGCAACAGGTGTAAATCAGGCAATATTAGTAGGTGTTCTAGTACTTCGTCTTAAAATACACAGTCATTTTAACAATTTAATTGCAAAGTAGCTTGAATTAACATAACTGAGGTGTAAAAATTATAGAAAACAAAGCAAGTTCCATAGTACTTCATATCATAAAATATATTTTATTCATCTACATAATATAGCACATTGTGCCTAAAAGCAAATTATGTCATAAATCATTTCAACATGTGAACATGATTTCGGTAGCTAAGTTTTGTTTTCTGCATAAAATATGAAATAAAACCTGTTAATGCACCTACATCAAGAATTCCGATTTATTTACAAATACTATTCGCAGAGAAAATTCCCAACTAGCTTAGTGTTTGTTTGTTTTTGAATTTCGCGCAAAGCTACACGAGGGCTATCTGCGCTAGCCGTCCCTAATTTAGCAGTGTAAGACTAGAGGGAAGGCAGCTAGTCATCACCACCCACCGCCAACTCTTGGGCTACTCTTTTACCAACGAATAGTTGACCGTCACATTTGTTTGTTCCTATTTATCCTTCTTTTATATTTAATGCAGAGCTTCCGAAGGAGGACCCAGTAATGGAAGGAATTCAAGACAGTTACAGTCCAGGGGACGTTGTTGACGTCACTTGTGTCGCAGCACCCTCCAAACCAGCCGCTGTTCTGAAATGGTTTATTAACGATAAAGAGGTAGTTGAAGTTTCTCCTGGTTTATATTATTACATGTTTACAATTCTATGCCATAACAATTTACAAATGCTATTAAGCAAATTTTGGAAAACAGTCAAGAAAGATATAATTTTTAAACTTAACTGAAATTGTAGATTTGAACTTTTCATTTATCTATTTTCTAAATTCACTCTCTATACTTAAACGAAAAAATACAGCTTCTCGACTTATTTTGTGGCTATCATAACGTTTCTTGCAATAATTATCAGTGTTTGATATTTTTGCTAGTATATTTTCCTGGACCTTCAATTTACGAAAACTGTTCTTTCACTAGTTTTAAATGTTATTTTTATGGACATAAAAATGAATGTTTAATGAGTAAAATCGAGGAGAAGATCATTTAATTTACGAAAAAACAGAGTGGATTGTGACAGAAAAAACGATCGTCTTATTTACCCACGCTGTAGTTATTAAACATGAATAATTAGTATTATATAATAGTTTGTACTGAAAATATGTGTGTCTATATCAGTGTTATGTTATTTCATAAATGTTAATCAAATTTTGATTATCTGTTATTACTGTTAATACGTATTTAGAATATCTAAATATAACAATAAGCAAATGATATTCACATAATAAACATTTACAAAGTCACTGTCCATCTTGAAGCAATCCAAGAACCTACATTAGTAGTTGTCTTTTTATCTAGTTAAAAATGTATAACTAAATACATTATTGCGCCTCTCACTGAACACTAGGTATTTATTACATGTATAAAATTGTAGCTGTTTATCGTATCTTCTCAATGTAATACTATCAGGTCTATTAAATACACTGTTGCCAAAAACCTTCAAACGCTAGTAATAGAAAAAATTGATTAAGAATATACATGGTTACTATTTTAATGGTGTATTTATATAAAAATAGAGGAGGAGTAATTGATGTGAGAAAGTTTCTCTGCATTCCATTATTTCAAACTTTATGTTTTTTCGAAGACATGGAAAATAGCACGACTAACCAACCACATGTGCTATTAGCGGAGAAATATTTAATATTTCTGTATGAAATTCGAATAAAAGTCTATAATTAAAAGTCTTAAAATCCAAAATTTGAGTATAACCTTAACTGATTTACAAATGACTGTATCTCTTTCATCTTCTTAAAAATGGGCGACGTGAAACTTATTGCATGCTTGAGGTTAGTGATTCGTGAGTTCAAGAGATTTATAAACCCTTCGCGTTGTAGCATGACAAAAGATCATTATTCACACCATATGACTAGTGACTTCAAAAGGTAACAAGAAAATTAACATGCAGCTTTTCCAGAGAAAGGCAACTAACATATGGACATATCAAGAAATATTGCAAATAATCATATACGTGCTACAAACTGATCATATTATTGTACGAAAACATATTATTTGAGGATCACATATTTATTAGGTTGTTGATAACTAAACCACAAACAATATGCTGTTTGACATAAACACAACTAGTTACGAAATGAAGATATATATATATATATATATATTTGAAATCATGCCCATTATTCACATTACATAATAAACCGAGCTGCTAACGCTTAGCGTAAACTTTAAATTTGAGAATGATTCCGAAAAGGGTATTGAAACTAGAAGATTTCGTAGATGTATCTCTATATTTTCATTATCTAGAAAGCTAAATCTGCTGTCAAGCAAGACTATTCTCAAAACATTGATTGAAGCTCATGCTCGATTACAAACGCTCCTAATACCTCTTAATTATAACCATTTAATACAACATATTTGAACATCAACAGTGATTTTTTTAGTTGTGTAAGCAAACATATCGCTAATTAGTTAAATCACCTTTTTTTCCTAAAAATAGCTGAAAACATTGAATATATAAACTCTGCTATTACATTCTAGTTTATAAATATCATAAACTTTATCCGTTATATATGTTCTTATGGAAAAGGGATCTAACCTAATGTAAGGCTATTTGTCATTTCAATCTAAAATGTATGATTCCATCCATGGTTTGTATTTGTAAACAAATATCATTGTGTACACTTTATAATGAAAACCATAAGACCTATATTTGTACTTTTAACAACTTGTGTAAAATTAACATCTTATTTCATCTAAACACTTTCGCTTTTCAATCAAGTTGTGGTTAGCTGGAGGTTTGAAGAATACTGGACTATCATAAACTAAGACATTCTTCCGATATGCAATCAAGTTATGGTTAGCTGGAGGTTTGAAGAATACTGGACTATCGTAAGCTAAGACATTCTTCCGATATGCAATCAAGTTGTGGTTAGCTGGAGGTTTGAAGAATACTGGACTATCATAAACTAAGACATTCTTCCGATATGCAATCAAGTTGTGGTTAGCTGGAGGTTTGAAGAATACTGGACTATCATAAACTAAGACATTCTTCCGATATGCAATCAAGTTGTGGTTAGCTGGAGGTTTGAAGAATACTGGACTATCATAAACTAAGACATTCTTCCGATATGCAATAAAGTTGACGAGAAGACCAACTATTAGTTTTACAGGTACCATGAACAATGTTTGCTAAGAAAAACAAATCAGTTACAACACTACAATTACACACATGATAAATGTTCAGCGGTATGTGTTGAACCGATAAGAGCGAATGATGACTTTGTTGAATGAACTCTTATGAGTTTAGTGAAAAATTCAGGTAAAACCCCAAGTTAAGTTTAAACACAGGGAAAATAAAATTTCTAAGGTTGTATTATGCTAAACATAAGCTTAATGTACGAAAATGCTATCCAAACGATAAACGAAAATCAAATGCTTAAATCTTCTTAATAAAACACCATTCACTTTGCAAATTGAAAATAAAAGTTAGAATTTAAAATAAGGCAAAAATAATCACTTTAGCTCCTTCACGAAATATATTTCGTAAAACTCGGTTTCACCTTTTGTAATGTTAACTTACTAGTTAATTTTACGAAAAGGGAAATCAAGTTTGTTTACTGTAAACATTTCACTTTGTTTGAGTGCTTTAATGCTCTCATTAGTTTTAATGGCATACAAAAGAGATATCACAGCAGCCTGCCTGGCCTCTACTGAATAAGTTACAGGAACACTGAAAACACAAAAGCAAACACGGTTTTGAATGTAAAAAGAAAAGAGAAACACAAAACCATAGTTGCACATAGAACATACTCACATAAAATATGTGTACATTCAGCATCAAGCTCTTGGATGCAGCTGCCCAAACCTATACTTAATTTGCCAGTAGGAAATACAGTTTTTTATTTCTAGACATCACCTTCTATCTTTACCACAAACGAACACACATCTTTCACAGCTGCAGTTAGGTAGGGGTAATCTAATAAATTATGCATACCTGAATGAAAAACAACATTGAAAATAATTTTAACATAGAAAAATACATTAAACGCACCCTTTAACAAAGCCCTACTAACCACGCCATTCATAAATTTAAAAAACACTTTTATTGACACTTTTATAAAAACAAAGAACACAATTAAAACTAAAGACACAAACACCGTAAAACTACACATAAAATTGCTTTATTAAATACACATGTTATATGTATACAATTCACTGCACTTATACGTATGTTATACGTATATATATACGGTTAAGGCGAGAGGTTGGAATTATTCACCTAAAGAGTCCAATGCAGCTGAAGATTTACAGAGCAATGTAGCGATCTGATAAATAATCTGTCTAGCTCTCAAAAAAGCTTTCCAGGTATGCGCCAGATCCTATCAGAGCCAACACACTTTCTGCTAAAGCTAAGTGAATAGATTTAAACGATTTAATAACAGATTATCTTCCTTGCAATTATACAGTGCGTAGGCTTCCATCAAACTGTCTTCCTGGTCCTGGTAGTGGCACTTTAAAATCACTGTTTTAAAACGAATAATCCTTTTATCTACGTCAGAAGCTTTGTGGGTAGCTCCATCCCCTTAGCCCTTACTTCCAGAGCCATCACAGGGAAGGCCACCATCAACGTAATTGATGCTTTAGTGTACATGGGTGTAAGAATTGTTATAGTCATCATCATTGTTGCGGTTGCTACCAAAACCGGAACTAAAAAAAAGTCACTTGATGAAGTTATCCTGATGTTGGTGTATTCTTGGAGCCAGATCTGCCAAGACTCTTACTGTCTAACTGCATTTTGGCATTTTAAGGTCAGTCAGGTTATTAGTTGATCTCACCATAGAATGTTTACAGATACCACGCTTGTTAGTTTTACATAATTTAACATTTAGTTTTACCCAGGGTCCAGCATTAGGGTTTGCATGGCAACAAGTGACACATTTTGTCATGGGTCCAGTTCAATCCATACTACCTGTTTTTTTTATTGCTACTCTGAGAAATGAGGTGGCTAACGGTGTTGTGACATGTTTGGAAGTCTAGAAGGTTGAGTTTACCATTGCTGTCTTCAGAATGTGTTCTCATTATTTGGCTGTACTTATATAAACGTCAGCTTATCTCCAGGCATGGTAGACATTGTTGGAAATTCCACAGAATCACGGAAAAAATATCTCACTTCTGGTTCCATGCATGGTTTCTCATAAATCTTGGGGTTAAGTTCAGAAACAAGAGTAAGTTACATCAACTGACAAGCTGAAAGATCAAGATAGCCAAAAGTTATTTAAGTTTGACCTTAGATAGGAAAAGTCAGGATTCAAAGTAATGGGTCAAAAATAGTTCCAATTAGTTAAATAAACTCAATCAAATGCATAGGGCAAATCTGTAGTGGCCTGGGTCAAGAAACAACATTTCATCCTGAAAGTTTTCTTCAGGCTAAAATATAAAGAATAAAATAAAGACAAAAATCAAGTTTTATTTCTAGAGGCTTACATTAGTTCATGCTTAACTTACTATAGAATACAATCCTTACTGCCTGCTTGGTCAATGCAGGCATCCTCGGGTCTCTAGCTTGACCTATACTAGCTGCCTCCAGGATTATCATGGGTACCAAAAATGAGCTGCACCTATCTTTTAACTCTGCCACATTCCCTCCAAT